ATGCAGGACTCAAATCAGAACGAAAAAATTACATACTATTGTGCAACAATTTGGCTAACAAATCACCCCCTAAACTTGTTGCACATCGATGACGCCCAGAGCACTCCTCAATTCCATGAACTTGACTCACCCCCAGTGACTTGGTGGAGATGTCGGCGAGCTGCCTCGCAGTCCCAACATGATCCACCTCCACCTTGCCTTCTTCAATGCACTCACGAATAAAGTGATACTTCGTATCAATATGCTTGCTGTGATCATGGTGCACTGGGTTCCTGCTAAGAGCGATGGCAGACATATTGTCCATGAGTAGCTTCACTATCGCCTCCTTCGTTCCCATCATATCTGCTATCAACCAGCTTAACCAAACGCCTTGGCACGCTGCTGTTGCTGCCACATATTCGGCTTCACATGAAGACAAAGCAACAATCTTCTGCTTCTGTGATGCCCATGTTACCAGGCTATTGCCAAGGAAATATACAACACTCGTGGTGCTCTTCCTATCCTCAACATCTCCTGCAAAGTCACTGTCACTGTACCCAAGCAAGATGGGTTTCAGTTCAGTTCCCTTCTCATATCTGTAGCCATACCCTATTGTTCCCTTCAAGTATCTCAAGATATGTTTAACAGCAGCCCAGTGCTCTCTCCCTGGTGCCTCCATGTACCTGCTAACAACACCTATCGCATATGCAAGATCGGGCCTGGTGTTGACGATGTATCTAAGGCTACCAATTATGCTTCTATATGCAGTAGGATCTATAGCTTCTCCCTCCTTCTTGCAGAGCTTGAGCCGACACTCCATGGGTGTATCACAAGGGTTGCAGTTTTTCATGCCTGTCCCCTCAAGTATCTTTACAGCATAAGAGCTCTGACTCAATGTAATTCCCCCATCTCCCTGCTCCACCTCTATCCCCAAGTAGTAGCTCATGAGACCTAGATCACTCATGCTGAATTTCTTCCTCATCTCTGACTTAAACTATTTAATGTCACTGACATTTGGTCCAGAGATGATCAAATCATCAACATGCACCCCCACAAGTAGAAATGAGTTCTTGTAGCTCCTTCTGTATACAACATGCTCTAGCTTGCTTCTCACAAAACCGAGAGCAACTAGCTCTTTATCAAGTTTAGCATTCCATGCTCTGGGTGCCTACCTAAGGCCATAGAGTGCCTTTCTCAATTTAAGCACCTTGTCTCCATTGCCAATGATGAAACCTAGAGGTTGCTGCACAAACACTGTTTTAGTTAAGTCACCATTCAAAAAAGCAGATTTCACATACATATGGTGTACCTCCCATCCACCTTGTGCTGCTAGTGGCAACAGCACCCTTACAGTCTCAATCCTGGCAACTGGAGCAAATACTTCATCAAAGTCTACTCCTTGGCGCTGAGCATACCCCTTGGCCACTAACCTTGCTTTATACTTGACAACATTTCCATCTGGATCTTTCTTGACTTTAAAGACCCACTTCAGGCCTATAGCCTTTTGCTTGGCTAGCAGATCATAGACATCCCAGGTGCGGTTTTCTTCAATTGCCTGCATTTTCGATTGCATAGCCTGCCTCCAGCAGTTTTTAGATAGAGCCTCATCCACCGTCCTTGGTTCTTCTGCTGCTACTAGGCAAAGCCCACTGTACTCGAACCCCTGCATTTCCTTGATTGTTTCAAGCAAATTGGGAATGGTTCTGAACCTCAGTGGAGCACCATCAGAATCTTCAGAGGCATTGGTGGGCGGCGTTGCCCACTGGATCATCTAACCTGGTGTACTAGGGCTGGCACTTGGGGTGTGTGGTGGTGTATTAGATGCACCCCCATGGATGGAATTGATGCAACAGGCGAGGCCGGTTCACCGTCATCAGGTTCAGAGGCGGTGCTCCCTTCAGGATCAGCGTCAGGCCCTATTGTCGGACCAGGAACAGTGTCAAAACACTGAACCGTGAAAGTATCAGGGACTGCTGCGTCATTGCTCAGCCTACTGTCATTCCCCTCCCAATTCCATGCCTTCTTCTCGTCGAATATCACATCTCTGGTCACCATCAGCTTGTCCTTCACGGGATCATACACACGAAATCACTTCATCCTAGGCTCATAGCCGAAGAACACACTTGGAACTAATCTGTCCGCCAGCTTATTTACGACGGGGCCAACACGCTTGGCATAAGCAACGCATCCAAACGTACGCAGATGCTTGGCCCCTAGCTTCTTCCCAAACCAAGCTTCGAATGGAGTCTCCCCGTTCAGGCTTTTCATCGGCGCTCGGTTCAACAGGTACACCGCCACCTTGACTGCTTCACCCCAAAACTAAGCAGGTACTCGCATGCTCTTAGGCAGGCAACGGGCCATCTCCACAACAGTCTGATTCCGCCGTTCTACTACTCTGTTCTGTTATGGGGAGTATGGTGTGGTGGTGCTATGCTTGATGACGTGGTCGTTATAGAAAGCCACAAACGCACCTGAGTTGAATTCGCCACCACGGTCCGTCCTGAACTCCTTCAGGCGACGGCCCGACTTCACCTCGGCCGCTGCCTTGAACCTTTTGAAATACACCAGCGCCTCATCCTTGGATGCCAGTAGCTTGAGCCACATATAGCGGCTGTGATCGTCGACGATGAGCAAGAAGAACGACTTCCCGCCAGGTGTGGGCGGCATAATGTGCCCACACAGATCACCGTGCACCAATTCAAGCCCCCCCGTCACGCGGTACGTCGAGGCCTGGGGAAAGGGTGTGTGGTGCTACTTGCCCAGTGCGCAGCCATCGCACACCTGCTCCGCACGCCGGATCTAGGGTATACCCTCCACCATCTCCTTGGCACCCAGCTCACGTAGAGACCTAAAATCCAAGTGTCCATACCGTACATGCCAGAGCCATGTCTCCTCGTCCATCTTGGTCATCATGCACACGGGCGAGGTCAGGTTCACCTTCATGATGTACAGATGATTCCTCCTCTCTGCCCGGATCAGAACGCCCCTCTCCTGGTTCACTGCTTGGCAGCGCTCGAACACCTTTAGGACGCCGTCATCAATCTCGATGCGACACCCCCCTTCTTCCAATTGGCCAAGACTCATGATATTGCATTTGAGGGATGGGATGTAGTATACCTCAGTGAGCACACGATGGTCCTGATTCCTATCAGCGATCATCACAGCCTCGATCCCGCAGATCTCCACCATGGATCCATTTCCAAACCGCACCGCGCCGCGTACCATCTCATCTAGGGTTGCCAACGATGCCCGACACCTAGTCATGTGATTCGTGGCGCCGATGTCGAGGACCCAGGCGCCTTCATCGTACTTCGACGGGGACACATGTTCCTGGTTCAGGAACACCCGTTGCGCGGTGGAGTTCGTGGTCCGCACAACATTGCAGACCTGCGCCACCATGAGCGCCGGCTATTCGGTGTCGGCGTTCGCATGGTGAGCGGCCTCCTGCCACTCCTCTTTCAGCTCCTTCGTCTTGCACTCCTTCGCGAAGTGCCCGTAGATGTCACATTTGCGGCACTTGCCTTTCCATCGTGGAGTGTCCATCGACGTGAGTTTCACGCCAGAGTCGCGCGCTTCGCTGCCGCCGCCGTCGCCGCGCGCTCCGGATCTCCCCTTCTTGATATAGCGCCCACCGCCCTTTCCGCCGGACGACGAGGATGTGTCCGGCACGATGTGGCTCTTGTTCCTGGCCGCCCACTCCTCCTCCGTCAACAAGAGTCGGCCAGTCTTATCCGTCACCTGCTCCACCGATGGCTCGAAACGATCTTTCGCCGCCCGCAAACGGCCCACAAGCTCCTCGATGGAGAGTTTCTTGATGTCGCAGAACATCTCGATCGTCATCGCCACTTGGTTGTAGCGCGGCGGCACGACCCGGAGAAACTTCTTCACAACGCGCGTGTCATCCACGCTTTCCTCGCCAAGACCACGCAGGTCAGTGGCAAGTCTGGTGATGCGCATGGTGAAATCATCGATCGTCTCGCCCGCCTTGAACGCGATCGACTCAAACTCCACTAGCAGCTTCTGTGCATTCACCTCCTTCACACGTTCTGCACCGAGACGCATCGACTTGATTGCCTCCTATGCCTCCTTCGCCGACTTCTTGTTCAAGAGCATGGAGTGAATATCCTGGGGCACGCCACGGATCATGGCGCCCAGAGCGAGCCGATCCCGGCGCCGGTCCACCTTGTCGGACTCGATTGCATCCCACAGATACATGCCTTCGAGATTGCATTGCACAAGCGCGGACCACTCCTGGTAATTGGTGCGGGTTAACATAGGCCATACCAAGTTTCGGCTACCTGGTTCCACGCCCGCTCCATCATGTCCTTGTCCTTGCCACTGGCATCACCCATGTCAGCGACGTTACGGTTCACGCCTTCACTTCCTCGAATACGGTGGACCAAACCACCCTGCTTCCTCTACAACCTCTCTCCGCCTCCGGACACCCCAATTCCGGCAGCTTATGGCTCTGATACCACTTGATGGAACCAAACACCACAGTGAGCTTGGATCGTGAACGCCGGCGACGGCGCGGTGACCGCGACGAGAACGCGAACAGATGGAAACACGCGCAACAAACTCACGTAAGAAAAGTGGATTTTCGGCGTCCTCCAACGCGACGCCTTCGGTCTATTATTGATGCTTTTATACACAAATGCATGCTACAATCTCAGGCTTGCAACAACCAAGCCTCCCCCGCGCCATGCCGCACAAAGTGCGCCACGCCGTTTCGCTGCGGCGCGCGCTGCGTGCGCTGAGCATGTCATGGCGCGGACTGACCGAACTGAACCGGACCAAGTCGTGATCAAGCACGCCATCGATCAAGCCCTGCCCCTATGCTAGCTGATGCTTGACTCAAATCAGAAAAAAAAAAAATTACATACGGTTGTGCAACAATTTGGCTAACACACCGGACCCTTGAAAACGCTTAGTATATGCTTATACATGACTTTGAGTCACGTCGCATTTACGCTCGTCTCCTCGTTCGCCGGGGATGTCGTCGGTCGGCTCGCGGGCGGGCCCTATTGCGGTTGCGGCCCCGCTGCCGCGAGCAGCTGTTGCTCGGTGGCCTCGGCGTCGATGATACAAAGCACGTGGTGCACGGCGGCGGCGATGTCGTCCGCCGTCGCCAGGCCGCACCCTTCCTCCACCTGCAGCAAAGCACACGCCGTGGTTAAAGCACCTGCACCTGGACGGACGAGGCGAATGAACGGTGCACATGTGCAATGGCCCATGGCCGGAGCCCGGATGACTGCTGGCTGCTGCGGCATCAGGAACAAGGAGCGGTGGGAATCTGCGGTCACTTGCGAGGGGTCAAATAATTAATGGGTTACTGTAGCGTTTCGTTTGTATTTTGTAAATTATTGTTTAAACATTGACTAATTAGACTCAAAAGATTCGACTTGTAAAGTACAACTAAACTGTGCAATTAGTTTTTGATTTCGTCTATATTTAGTATTTCATACATGTACTGTAAGTTTGATGCGACGGAAAATCTTATTTTTACATAGTACATTTTTTTTTAGAAGTTTGATCCAAACTAAACATGCCCTTGACTCAGCCACTGCCCTGCCCGTGGTCATAAACTAGGGCACAGTGTCGTACTGCCGTGGGCGAGGACGGCAGCAACATGTACGCTGTCTCCCTGCCGCCTAGGCATAGCCTTTTTCCGCCCATTTCTCGATGCCAATCTCAAGCTCCAGCAGCCAGGCTCAGTTCAGAGAAAAGATTCGCCTTGCCAGAGTGTCTACCCCCGACAACTACTAGGGTCTACGGAGCCTACTACTGCACGAGTGCAGCGCAGCGCACAACCATGGACAGGCGCCGACATGGGCACATGACAACTCTACCTATTGACAAGCCAGAGCATAGCCTGCGTGCGATGCGAGCTCAGAGCTCACCAAGGCAAGGCATGGGCGCATGGCCGCATGGCAGTGGGCAGTGGGCAGTGGCACTATGGGCTACTATGGCATTGGCACGGTCAGGCAGGCCCCGGCGGCTCGCTGAGCTCTCCGGTCAAAAGCAAGCACCAACGCCGCTGCTGTAGCATTCAGTCGTACCACTACCACCGGCGGGGAGCAAGAAAAGACCCAGGTGCTCAGTGTTCGTGTCAGGCCCATCGGATTCTCATCAGAGCTAGATTCGGGGGGGAAAACTATCGATTCGCCTCCAACAAGGCAACAATAATGCATGCACTGGTTCGAGTCGAGCGTGGGTGCAGGAAAGGACCTCTCCTGCCTGCCGGACCGCAGCGATGTGATGACTCATGACCCCTGGATGTGTGGTCTACACATCCAACAGCAGGAGAATATCTGACACGCTTTACTTTCAGGCCTACTGCTGCTAAAGATGGATGCCGCCGAATCAATGGACATGGAGAGAGCTCAGCTCAGCCACTAGGACTCTAGGAGTCAAGGTGTTTGTTGCTGATCAGTTTTCTATTGATTTTTGGTTCGTGCAGAGTGACCCTCGTGATTCCTAAATGATGTGTGTGGAGACAGGCAAACTTGGCTGCGTCTGGCTCTGTTCGTTTGGGTCGGTTTAGTTTAAAGTTATGACTGAAAGTATTGTTGTCTGATTTGATATAAGAGAAAAATATTATTTGTTGGCTGATAAGTCATAGCTTATAAGCTGGATATGAGCAAGCAAAGGCTGAGAATCGCTCCATTGGTGAGCCTAACGTGCAAGATCCCTGTACTAGTTCGAGTTGTGCATCGGTTTGTGTTCACTGCAAATCTTTGTCCTACTTCATCAACAAAACGCAGGAATGAATCAAAACTTAAATTAGGTAAACTTAAAGGCAGCGGCAAATGCGCGCACGCATATTACTGTATGTACCTTGACGCTGATGGAGTAGAGGACCAGGGCGTCCAGCGTGGTGACGCTGAGGTGGAGCACGGCGAGGCGGAGCGCCTGGAGCCCGGTGACCAAGCTGAGGAGCTGCCCGGGCCGCCGCGTCGTCATCACGCGGACGCTGGCGTGCGTCTCCACCAGGGTCACCTCGACGTCGGCCACCCCGGACCGGCGGCCGTCCTCCTCCTCCCCCGCCGCCGCCGCAGCCGCGGGGTCGCGCGGCGAGTGGCACCACACGTACTGCGGGTACGTGAAGAACTGCGCGAACGGGGCCGGCGGCGCGTGCGCGTGGTCCGCCGCGGCCTCCGTCACGCTGCTGCTGCAATTGCTCGTCGTCGCCGCCGCCGCCGCGGTATCCGCGCAGCAGGGCTTGGTGGTGGTGCTGCTGCTGGCATGCATTGGCGTCGCGTCAGGCTTCGCGGCCGCCACGTGCTGGTGAACCAGCAGCGTCCGCTTCTGCGCCTCGAGGCACTGTAGCTGCTGCTCCATCTCCTTCACGAACTCGATTGCGCCTCCGACGATGGAAGCTTGGTCACCCTGCGAATGTTCCGTTAATTGTCAGGATTTGGACTATGGACAGATAGGGAATGAGGAGTTACTACTACGCCAAGGAGCGTTTAACTCTCTGCAAGAACTAGACCGAAGTTAATGACAGAAGAGGGGGACACATTAATGCATGGTTTGTTGTTGCCCGGCCAAGACTGAACAAAGAAATCCAACAGTGAAGGGAATTGAAGGCTTAAAGCTAGTGCCGAATGGCAGGCGTAAAATAGTCACGGTTGACCTAGAAAAAGGGAAGGCATTGCACGAACTGCTCGCTCGATACTCGAAAGTGGCGGGTCTCTTTCGCCAAGAGAGACATTCCTCCGACATGGTTGCTCCGCCATCGCTTTCTTCCTTTGACGAACACTAGAACAGGTAGAGAACAGAAGAAGAAAGGAACACGCTCGCTTGACACGAAGCGGTGTCCGTTTGCTACACGACTACACGCGCGCGTACCCTCTGGACGTAGGCCTCCGGCATGATGGAGCGGAGCGCGGCGAGGTACTCGTTCATCTGGCGGCGGCGGTTGCGCTCGACGGCGATGTGCGTCATCCGCTGGGTCTCCGTCTCCTCCGTGGACTTGCAGCTCCGCGCCCGCCGCCGCCGCTTCCTGACCGGCCTAGTCGTCGGCGTCGCCGCCGACGTCGTCTTCGCTGCCTGCGCCTCCCCCGCCGGCGCCTCCACGGCCGCCTGCTGCTGCTGATGATGATGGTGATGGTGATGCGCGGACGCCGGGCCGACGACAATGCCGGCGCCGTCACAGAACGCGGCGGTGTCGAAGAGGAAGCTGGCGGCGTTGAAGGTGTCGTAGACGAGCGCCGCGGCGTCGCTGGGCGGCGCGGCGCACAGCGCGTCCACTAGCGCCGACATGGCGGGTGGCCGACGGTCGCTCTCGCGCTCTACTCACTTACTTACTCAGCTAGCTAGCTCCCCGCGCGTGCGTGGCTGCTTCTCGGTGTCGGTAAGCTCTTGGCGACGCGCGGTATCGTTTACTTGCGGAGCTGCGTGCGGTGCGGGGTGCCTAGTACTACTAGCACGCTGCTGCACGCCGCACCGCCCCCCGTCTACTACTTATCGCTCTTGGCCGCTGCAGCTTTGCCGCTGCGACTGCGTCGGCTGCTGCTGCTGCCAACTGATGCGTATCTGAGGTTCTGAGCTCCTTGCGTTGGTGGCTTGCGTATGTTTCTTTCTTTCTAGCGGTGGGCTGTGTGTTTTCGTGTATACGGGGGGAAAGGATAAGGTTTTCAGCCGAGGAACAGTGGATGCATGTAGGAGCTAGCCGTGGCTTCGGCAAATCGGCAGCGCCACAGTGACTCAGGGCCATCAAATGTGGCCAAAAGCTGCCTTCTTTTTATGTAGGAGTACCTACGCCGCGCTGTGTTGGCACGGCAGAGCTCAGAAAGAACCCCGGTGGAGCTGAAAGAAAAGTCAGAGAAGAGAGGTACGATATGGTAGCTCGGATTAATGGCGACTAGGACAATTAGCACCTGAGTTAATGAGGTGCCTGCACGTACAAGGAAGAGCTTAGCTTGCTTGTTTCACCGAATGCCTCTGAGGATCAGACAGGTTATTCCCGTGAAGAGGACCCATCTATCACACGGGATGCAGTTGGAGACAGTGGTAAGGACCAACAAGGCCACATGGATTAACAGTGGAGGGCGGAGTAGCAACGAGACAATTGCAAGCAGCAGGTCACATGAGTAACGTGGGCTAGCACTACTTCTGTGCTACGCGAGGAGGGTTAACGTAAAAAGTCCTAGAGCGGTCAATCATATGCATCGACCACACCGCACACCAGTCACCAACCCAGGAATTCAGGGCTCGGCTAAACTTCTGGGACACGCTGCTTGTCGACATTATGATTCACGCTGTACTCGCCCTGATTTTACCATAGTACCTACGGAGACGTTGTCCTTGTCCAAGCTACGGGGACACCGGGATGCCCGGACATGCGCCCTATTTGTTCGGCTGGCTGTAAAGGCACCGATGCAATATATGACTGATTTTTTAAGAGAAAAACTACTGTAGCATGGTTTATAAATAAGTGCGATAAGACCAGACGAACACTCCGGTAGGCTGCAGTGCAGAAACCGGTGCAGCTGGTTTCAAGGAGTTGATTAGTGTCTGAGCAGCCTCTGAATCCATGTACTACTCCTCCAAGAAAGAAACGTCACTGAGTTGTGGTTGTGGAAAGCTACCTTTTCCGTATCAGTAGCTGCAATGACGACAGAAGAAATGTTTGTTACGGGGGCGACTCCTTTGTTTACTACTCAAGATGTGGGTAACGGATTCGAGACAGTACATGCAAACACACATGGCAAAAAGGTGCAGCTAGCAGCTAGAGGACACGGGAGGTGCAGAACCCCAAATGACAGTATCAGATTAGTATAATGTCCTGCGAGAATCTCAGCAGCTTTTCAGCTAATCTTGTATAACGAAACATGGCAGCGAACAATCCGTCAAACCGGCAAGTGCAATCTAGTTAACCTTTGAAGCTTAAGTGGTTTCTTGGAAACCTTGCTCTGAAGATCGATTAACGTTAAACACACTAATTAAGACGCGGGCGCGCCTCATTGTTTTCAAGAAACTGTTTTCGCCCTAGGGTGCGCAACACTAGGCTATTATGGCTGTGTTCGGCTGGTGCAGTGTACAGTGATTTTTGAATTATTTTGAATGATTGAATAGTATTCTGTGAGAAAGAATAAGCTGAAACAAGCTGGAAGTGTACCAGCCGAACACGGTGTATATAGCATCAAGCTCAGTTTCGCTTTCCACCGAACATACTTGAATTCAAATTTTCTTTTGACGTGTTTCTTATAATGATTGAAGAGTAAATTGCATCCACCATAAAACAACATGTATGATTCTGTGTCTTTAGTTCAACAAGTTGAGAAAAACATGTAAATAAATACACGAGCTTGTCGTATTTGTGCGTCTCCAGTTACATATACATCATGCTACGTATTTTTGCCACCGTGGCAGGTGATGACAAGGGCAGTTTTATGCATGTTGCCTCCTTTCTTGCTTCCCTCTTCACATCTGGGTTTTATGTGGTTTGTTTCCTTTCTTTTCATCAATTACTCCTTCAACAGAGCAAACACATAAGCCTGTTCGCTTGTTGGTTTCAGTCAGGGCTTATCAGTCAGCCAACAGTGTTTTCCTCTCACAACAAATCAGCACTAGCCGGGCTTATCAGCCCATAAACCAACCAGCGAATAGACTGATAGAATCATAACAAGTAGGGCCGGAACAAATCAGATCGGCGATGGTACATACCTGGTAGCCTTCAACGCCGCTGGAGTCACACAACATGAACAAGATGGATTTTGTTTGCGCAAGTTTGCTTTTAGTGTATCCATGACCTTTGAGGAGTGGTGGGCCCATGCACACACATGTCATAATATAAGGCGTTAGACAGGTCCGTAATGGCGCAACCCAATATTATTGCTTCAGCAAAAAAAAAAAGGATCAGAGACTCAGAGTGAATGACCAATTTTTTTTATCATTAGTACTAGTAACTAGCAAGTAGGAGTGTTAGGACTACTGTTTCTTTCCATGATTTTTCACTTTTCATGTTGTGAAGTTGCAGCCCATTAGCCATTAAAAAAGATTAGATCAAATGATTGGTCAGTTGCCTCCATAAACAAGCAATTACACCAAGATCTAATCTACTACTTACAATCATAGCAATATAGTTTACGCTAGCGTGATGGTATAATGGACCTACAACTACCGAACTACGGTCTATCCAATGAGCCATGATGTATTATAGTGAGATCAAGGTGTGGCTGGCACTATGTGATGGCATAGTCAATACTCGCACCGGGACATCTTGATGCATGGTCCCACGACAATCACCAACTATAGGTGCATGAAACCCAGATGAGATGGGGAACAATGAGTCAATGACAAGGCCCTATGTGCATAATACCATCAACGTCAAATGTCATGGTGGTAAATACAATGCGTGACATACATGGGACTGTAGGCCCGCGCATTTTACAAGTTAATGCATATGTTTGCACATTCTACAACTTGTTGGATCAAAGTGATACAACCACACAAGTTGTTGTAGGGTGGGTGTAATTTAGTCTTGATTGAAATTTTAATTTTTTTATTACAAAGCCGAGTGGGTTGCTACAAAATCACCAAGAAATAACAAATCAAAGAAGCACCATATTTTAACTAAAGGTATATTCTCTCCATACCAAAATAAATAACTTTCTAAGATTTAAAATTTGTCCCAAAAAATAACAGTATAAAAATATGAGACATTGCTACTTAATTTGGAAACTAATCACGGGTGCATGCAAGTGATAACTAACAAATCAGGAGATCTCCTCTAGAAAAGGAAAGGAGATGTCTGAAAATATCTAGAAAGTTATTTATTTTGGGACAAAGGAACAAGGAAGTATCTATATTTCTAACTTAAGTTAAGTAACGAAGAAGGTACTTGGTAGGACTTACTGGAAAATATGTATCTTAAAAAACAAGGCAATTTCATATGTGAATAAGAAGGCAGGCAATTCCTATTTTTGGATGGGTCTAATGCCTGTGAAGGACCCCTTTATGAGCCTTTGCAAAGTTTAAATTAGGTAATCAATCCTAAGTTAGATTATGGAAGATTTCTGGCTAGGGAACCAAAACCTTAAAGGTTAGAATCTTTCTTTAGAAGGGCTTTAGTTGGAAATACGTTTCTAGAATGGCATACCCTGGTTTATCGAGTTGCTTGCCTATTGAGTTGCAAACCCGTAGGGATACTATTGCGTGGTTCATTCAATATATAATTTTATAATTAATAATGGGATCAAAATTACTCAGAAATTTGGTGTGTAAAACCACCTCTCAAGATAAAGATTTTGCTATGGTTTTTTTAAAAAATGGAGCTATGAACAAAATTTAAATGCTAGAGGCATTCTTTACGCTATGGAGAGAGTATGAGTGATATTAATAGGTTGCTGTACATAGTAGGATTCTCCTGTTCGACTGCCTCGCCATGGATCTTCCCCCTAAGAGCTTTCAGGAGGGACTTACTCGCTTTGGGAGAAGGCTCTAAGTGTGGGGGCTTCCCGACTCCTTCGACGTAGTAGCGGCTGCGCACCTAAGGTACCAAAAGAATGCTCGTGAAGTAGGGAGTATGGGAAGCTCCAGAAGCGTTGCAGGTGGTGTTCATGTGCTTCCGTTGTTACATAGATTGTTTGATTGGTTCCGGGATTGCCCAAGAATTTTCTATGGCTTTGTTCACTGATTCTTTTGATGCCCGAGTTCCTTCCCTTGAGCAGAACGAGGGAGGAGTAGATCGAGTCTCCATCTTCTTTTAGAGTTGTCCTAACTCAAAAATTTGGAGTTGTCCTAAGTGTAGCTATTATATTTTAAGTTTTACTAAATTTGTAGAAAAGAGCACCAATATTTTTGACACCAAATTAATATCACTAGATACATTATGAAATATATTTCTATATATAATGTACTCCCTCCATTCCAAATTATAAGTCTTTTTGGTATTTCTAGATACATAGCCTAAGTATCTAGACTTAATGTAACTAAGTGCATAATAAAAGTAATGTATTTAGAAACGCCTAAACTACTTATAATTTGAAATGGAGAAAGTATTTATTTGGTGTCATATATGTTGTTAATCCTTTTTATAAAGTTAGTCGAACTTAAAACAGGTTGACTTAAGGTGATTTTAGGAATCGATTTTAATTTTGGGATGGAGGCAGCATATATATCAAAATCTATACAATAATCAAAAGTAAAATGGCTTGGATCTCATGCAGTCAATGCATGCCCAAACTTCTAGATGCCAAAAATTCTGTAAATGTTTGGATCAGACCTAAAAGACATTGACGGTCAAATATGTCACACTT